GGGGGGGTTTACCCCCCCTCCATGAAAGGGGGGTCCGGGGGACCTCCCCCGGAAAATTTTTTAAAAAATGAAGCCGCAAGAACACAATTTTCATCCTTTTTGGTGAAAATTGTGGCAATAAATGGACGTTTTATTTTATTTTTTTTTTCACTGATCGTTTTCCGGTAATTTATTTATTTTAGTGAATTTTAGTTTCCCCTAAATTTATAGTTGTAATTTTGGTGAGAGAGTTCTTTCAACTCGACGGTGCTCATCTCCTGCATAGGAAACTTAAAAACGCGCCGAAAAACGTCACAGAAAAAAGCCGAGCACTTCTCGAATACGACAGTACCTATTAGAACTTTCCCGCTTGTTTTTTTTTCCTTTTTTTTTGTTTTTTTTCATTTTTGTTTTATTTTTAAAATTTTTTTATAGCTTTTTTTATTTTTTTAAGGAATATTTGATTTATTTTTTGATTAAATGAATGAAAAAAAATTGTTGAAAAAGTTTTTATTATAATTAAAATTTTCAAAAAGTATTTATTATTTATTCAGTATTCTACTGAAACCATAATTCCAGCTTCTTGAAAGGGGAGAAGATCACGTTGAATTGCACAACACGCACCTGCGAGAATGAGTGGGAGACTGAGGAATGTAGAACTGAGAGATGCGGCCCGCGCGCTGCCCGCAAGCGAAGAGGAGAAGCGTAGGACGAATTGGCAGAGGGGAAATTCGGCCGTTCGCAGGGACCTGCGGACCACTGGTAAAGGAAACAGCTGGACTGATGAGCGACTCTCGTCTCTCGTTCTCTCCCTGTTCCCTTTTCTCTCTGCTATGTTCACTTCGCAAGCGCGGTCCGCACTTGTCGGCCGAACTCGATGCTCCCGCTTCGCTCTGTCCTCCGCGCCGGTGCCTCCCGCTCTCTCGTCTACCGACCCTTCTTCATCATTGCACCGAGGTTCTCTCTTCTCACCGAAGTGGGCAGCTCGCCCCGCCCGTTCCCCTCTCACTCTCATCCAGGATCGGTGGCCCCTCGCGGACCCCGCGTCTCAGGATTCTTTCTCTCCGCCACGCCGCATATCGCCGTCGGAAGAAAATCTCCCGATAATTATTTGCGGTCTACTATTCTGTATTGTTTCCCACATTGTTAGCCATAATTTATCAATTGTCTCAAAATATTTTAGGGTGTTCGGCGAACACTGCGAACCTATGGACGCCACGCCACTGACTTCCCCTCGAGTGAAATAGAAAAAGGCAGAATCCTTCGAAGTTTATATTAATGATTGCGGTCCGGAGACTGTGCGCTTGGTTTTATTTATGTATATTAAACCCTTAGATGACTAACCGGGTCTATGAGGCCCGGCGGCTTCTTATTTTTCGCGCCTCGGCAGCTGTAATTATCCGAGAAGTCTGTCTTTCACAAATAGCTCTACAAAAACCCTTAAGAACATAATTCCAGAAAAAAAATTCTCAAAATTTTATTTTAGGCACAGCAATTGTTTTTTTTTTTCATGTCGACCCCTAGAATGACTAACCCGGGCCTGCGAGGCCCGTATTGAGAATATATGGTAATTTAATGGCTACAATGCTTTTTTTTCTCTATTTTTAGATGAATTTTATGATTTTCATATTTTGACCTCTACAACCAGGGTCTCAAATTTTTTGTTTCACCCATATCTTTTTTCAGGATTTGAGGAAGTTAAATTGAAGGAGCATTATTACCCCTATAAGTATACTTGAATTTGAGAGGGAGGGGGCAACCTTGCTCACCCCTCCCCCCCTCCCCTTCCTTCTGGTAGCCAAACCAAGTAGTACTTTCCGATGTGTTTCTTTCTAAGTTTTGCACTTAGAAGGCTTATTTTTTAATTTCGTGAAAAGAAAAGATAAGTCTGAAACGTATTATTGTACTATTACTACTATTAAGTCGCTCTCATGGCGCTTCTGTGCGGTCTGCGACATCCAATCGCACTGCCAGCGATCTTGCCAGAGCACCTCCGGCAGAGCGCATCTCCTCATTTCAAGCCTTATTCCCTCAATCCATGATTTGACAGGGCGTCCTCTACGTTGGCGTTCATAGGCGTTATATATTGCTGTTATTTATGGAATACTTCTACATTATTTCAAACTTTTCGACAAGTTAGAGCAAATTTACCTTCAGTGAATTATGAGATAAACGCGGGACAAAATTTCTTGTGAAGTTTCTAATGGTTTTCTTGAGGTTTTGCTGTATTAGCTGTAGCTAAGAAGTCGTCATGGAGGTAACATACTGTCTAAGAACTGTAGAAGCACCATGCGTTACTTTCTTACAACTAATAGGTAACGCCTTAACATATTCACCGTATCACAAGAAACACCTAAATGTAACTCGTAAAAACTCTTACATCGTCAAAAAGTAAAAGTAGATAATGAATAATGATTCCAGTATAGGACGACGGACAATATACATGAGTAGGAAAGATTTTAGGAAAAACAAAACATAAAATAAATTACTGAAGGTCAAGAAAATCAGACTCATTATTTATTTATTATTATTTTAATTTCAGGTGCTTCTTGTAATACGATGAATATGTAAAGGCGCTACCTTTTAGTTGCAAGAAAATAACACATGTTGCTTTTACAGTTCTTAGACAGTATATTACCTTTATAACCACTCCTCAGCTACAACTGTTACAGCATAGGTGATCTGGCAAGATCGCTGTCAGTGGCGGTTGGGTGTCACAGAGCGCACAGAAGCGCCGTGTGAGCGACTTATTAGTAGTAATAGTACAATAATACATTTCAGACTTATCTTTTCTTTTCACGAAATTAAAAAATAAGCCTTCTAAGTGCAAAACTTTGAAAGAAACACACCGAAAAGTACTAATTTTGTGTCTATTGGAAGGAGGGAGAGGGGGAGGGGTGGGCAAGGTTGCCCCCTCCCTCTCAAATTCAAGTAAAGTAGTAGGGGTAATAATTTTTCTTTAATGTAACTTCCTCAATATCCCAAAAAATATATAAAAGTGTGTTTATAATGAGGGGCTCCTAGATCTGAGGGCACTGGGGAGAGAGGGGGGAGATTTAGAGGGCGAGAGGGCACTTTATGGGTGAAAAATGAATTTGGGACCTTGGTAATAGAAGATGAAGTATGATAATCATACAATTCTTCAAAAAACATAGAAAAAGGCATCGCAGCCATCAATAATAACCATACACTCTTAATACGGGCCTGCGAGGCCCGGGTTAGATATTCGTGTAGGTAAAAACGGTTAGTCATCTAAGGGTTAGTCCATGTGAAGTCACGCGTAATTTGCACAAATTCGTGTTCAAATCGTTTCTAAAGCCTAGTCTCCTCCTTAAATCTATCTGTTTTAACTTGCCTTGTATATTTTCCGAGATTTCCCAGTTACCTGTATCGACCACTTTTTGGAGGTTACATGAGTTGCTGCAAGGAATCTGGCTAACTCTGAAAACTAGAAGGGCTCTTCGCAAAATTGTTCTGTTATTTAGTGAATATCGGTTCTGTGTAAAGTCATTGCGAAAGCGGGAAGATGCGGAAGTCACTTGAGAATGTTCAACTAGGAGTGATTATTGAATACTTCGTTCGTATATCTATTTGTGTTAAAATTTTAGAAAATCAAAATACTCCGACGAAGCGTAAAATTTTCGTCGGATTTTGGTTTAATATAAGCTTTAATAAAATTCGACGGTTTCTGTTCCACCGTGAACTGTAGCAATTGGTACTCCGTGTAGTTTATTTTTTTAGCAGGTATATTTTTAACTATCTACTTATTATGAAATTAAACTTTTTGTGAAACTGTCTTAGTCTGTAAATGATACTTCAACGGTGAAAAGAAGTTTCGTTTTGGTATCATTTACTTGAAATCGGTGAAGTAATTATCTGCCATTCCTCGCTACATTTTCTATAACTGCCAATAATTGTGTGTAACGGAATTTCTAATCAAAATGTAAGTCTACTGCTTTTATCAAATTTGCTTCTGCTAATTTGAGTCAATATTTAAAAATACATGACGAGTGGATGTTAGAATCCATTAAGTTTGTCGGAGCATCTGGAATTCGGGAGGCTTTAAATTATCAATCATACTGGGCAGTTTGAAACGCCACACTAGCTGTGTTAGCCATATCGTTTAATTTACGATCCTAGTATACTGGTAAATTACAGCTTCACTGGAAAAAAATCAAGTAGACAGTATGATTAATAATACCCAAACACTCGTAAATCCAATCGTATTTTTCTGCAGCGTATGTAAAGCAAATGAAAAGTATAACGAAGAAAAAAAGTTGTGCGGTTCAAAGAAATGAAACAAATGATCCCAGATACAAATCTAGATTCAAATGCCCAGTTATCAAACTTAAGCAGATCGACGTTGACGGTTAAATATAGATATTTTGTGCTACTTCATCATCTGTCCCCAAAGCTCAATCGTTAGGGTGTTAGGTTATAGGATAAGCTAGGTCCAGGTTCAATCCCAAGGTATAGGTCGAAAAAATTCTATCGTTGTATAATAAGTTGAGTTAATTAACAAATTTTATGTTTTTCATTTTTATAATTTAATTATTTTAGTTCTAGGATATTTATTTTAGGGGGCTCCTCGCCCCCTATTTTCCGTTAAAAGCCCCAAAAAATGGCAGTAATGACCGCTGTCTATTTTGGTAAAACTTGTCGGGCGGCGTAGCCCTCAAAATGGGCCACTTTGACATAAATGGTGGGCGCTGCGGCCAAGCGCTCGGGTTGATCTAACCATCTTTGCTGGGCTGACCCAGCCGCGCGGCAAGAAACCAACGTCACTACCTGCTGGTTTTCGATCTGCCCAAGAAGTTGGTTTGCGCGATTCTCTGCATTCGAATATAGTCGAATCGACCATCTTCATGGCTGCACGAGACAACCTTTTTTTCCGTGTGGGAACCGCCATCACTTCTCATTGATTGTTTTTGAGTTTTTCGTAAGTGAAAATTTTCAAAAAGTTCGTTTTTCTCGTACCGAAATACCCGTGGATACTAAGTTTCATTCAAAAACGCTGATAAGCAGCCTGAATATTCTCTTACCGCTCTAGATAGCCATTATGACCGGCCGCTATCTTGTCAAAAACCATGATTTTCACTCGCGGTTTGCGCAAAAAAAGTATTTTTTTTTTGCTTTTTCGATTGATGTGTCACAAGAGGAGGAGGGGGGATTTGCCATTTGAAAAAAAGGTAGTGTCCGTAGCCCATGTAGCCCATTTGGAGGGGGGGGGGTTGGCGGCAAAAGTAGCTAATATCGATCTATGAACATCCCCAAAGTTTCGTCTCAAAATGTTCACCACGTAAAATTTTAGAGGCGGTGGGAGGGACTTCAAAGGCACCTTTCACGATTCATCCATACAATGTAAATTTCTGGAGATAGCAGTCCCAGAAGAAAAGCAAGGAAAAATTGAAGAAGAACTGAAGGCACGAACCTGTTCCTTTTTCCGGGAACGGTCCAACATATTTTGCTAAAGTTTCACATAGTAAAATATTATACTTAAGCATATTAGCCAAGCCCCAATGAATGTATGATCTCTTCGTTGCATTTTTCCTCGACGGCGAATCTAAGTCTGGAAATAAGCATTAATGCTGACATTTTGAAACATTGGCATCAAGTTAAAAGATGATTTCAAATTTAGTTATCAGAGTCCTTCAAAATTAAAGTCTGAGGCCTATGATGGCATTACAGCTTTTCCAAGAAGTATACTGCAATCGATGGATTACTTGAAATTCCAAACTCTTGAATTAATCGTATCACGCAATATCGCTTAGTGGAATCCACGCAACAATTTGTGATTTTCAATTGGATGCTATTTTCCAATTCTCCTCAAAGTATTTCCCGATCTTATTTTGCATATAAATACCTGATACACATACTAAAACATGAAGTTATGAGTTTTTTTTTAAAAAACACGTCTTCCAATATGCGTTTTGTCAATTCGTCGATTGATCATTGTATTCCGCTTAAATGTGCCATAGCTCAATGTTCATGGGATATGTTTCCCACTTGACCACGCACACTTACCAAACATGAAAAATGAATATAGTACGTTTGGTATGGCCGGAAATTTGAAAGCAAATGGAGTAAATTTCAGTTCCTCTGGATGATGTTTTGTGCCGAAATCGGGCCAAATCTGTCCAACCCATCGAAACTGAGAAAAGTGACAAAAACATAATCAAGAAAAGTTCTCACATGTTCGTTAAACTATTGAATAATACTTAGCAGAAAGCCTAACACTTACGCAGCAATATTTTTTCATGACAGCAAAACTTTCTGTTTCCTCAGAAAAAGGAGGTGGAAAAATATAAGAGGACGATGCAAAATAGATCCTCTCATGAAATATTTTCGTGTCATAAGACGTTTTCTCCCGGGGTAAAAAGTTCAATTTAAAAAGCTTCTTAAGAATGTAGAAGTCGCAGTAACTTTGCAGCGTTCCAATCTACTGGGTTTCCCCCTGCAAAAGGCAGTTCCTTTAAAAATGTTACACTCAATGTAGAGGTTTTTCCTCAAAAGGTGAAAAAACGAATTTTAAAAATTAAGAATAAAAATAGGATTCAATCAATGTACTCACTTTAAACTCATACTGTGGAGCCTCGTCGAGTAGATCTGGAATGATTTCATGTTTCTTGAACTTCCAAAAAAACAAAAATGTGATTTTTGTACAAAATTTCGGCCCAATCCAAAAAATGTCACTAATTACCAAAAACAAAAAAAACAAAAAAAAAACCAGGCACCCAAAAAATATGATGGCAGTACCGTTTGGATTCATCATATAAAAGGAAATGATATCAAAACGGCCCAATTTTCTCTTTCATGCCCATGCAATATACNCTAGAATATGTGTTCTATCTGTTTTTGATTTCGACCTTTGTACCAACTTAAATGAGGAGTAATCAGCTCTGATTCTGGGGTAACTGTCTGTGTTGTATGAATGGTTCTTATGGATTTGATAGACATAAGAGAACAATATATGATATGAGCAGAAAGTTGAATTCTCAGCCGCGCGAGCCATACATTGGCTGTTCGCAAGCCGCTGATCATTTCTTCCGATCTATTTTTAAACCAAAAAATAAATTAAAATAAAATCATGTACGAATAAATTTGTCTTATGGCAAAGAATTACCAATCATTTTGCATAGTCACGAATCAGTCTTTTGTAAATTGATTCAGTTTTTGTCCAAAGATATCTAAATTTTTCTACTCCACTCCTTCCTACCTCTCCTGTTAAACGCAACAATCAGTATGTAACCATTTAAATATTGTAAATTGTTGGCATATTCAGTTGTCAGTTTCTGCCGTATTTTGCTCACTAAGTACCTGAAACCACTCATTCGCTCGATTCAACGAAAAGCTGATGTCGTACTGCGGCAAAACTGTCGGGCGTGTTTGAACTACTGTTTCATAAGAAGTATGGATGTGATAGTTTCATCTCATCAGATCAATGTAGTGATCTTATCACGGTACATTATCAAATAATAGCCTGAAAATAATCGAAGATAGACCCAACGAAGAGAAAGTGAATTCTTAATCGAATTCTTGGTTTGAAATGTAGAAACTACGTGTTATTCAAATAATGCAAATGATCTGCAAAAAAATGGAGAGCCGAAGAGCTGGATGTTGACGGAGAGCGATTCGCCTTCATTTTTGCGAATATGCATAATCGCCGCTTAAGTGTTAGCATACTTGCTTGATCTTTTTGAATTTTATGTATATATATTATATATATTATACAGCTACAAGCAAAATCGTGGAAGCACTATTTCTGACGAACTGCCGGACCGATAAAGATGATCTTCACATATATCGACGGTGAAACTACCAAACCACGTAGCTCGTTTGCGGTGTTTAAAAATCTACGCTCACGTTTTATTTTTTTGAAGTAGACCAAATCAATATCATTCCTTGAAATTTTCACGGAATTTTCTCCGCACAAAGAAGAAAAATCACAGAAATTTTCAAGACTGGATGTTAAGTAGTTTTTCATTTAAAAAATAAAGTATGACAGGAAGTCTGCGACGTCGCAAACCGAGATACGTGGTTTGGTAGTTTCACCGTCGATATGTCATCTGTAGTAGATGCAGATGTGCAAAAAATTATGAAACCCCGAACTTTTAATGTTGTAGAGATTTTAAAGCTCTTGCCACTTAAGTCCAATGTTAATAGCGTGAGAGATATGTCGTTTCCGCTAGAAACGTCAAGGTGTGGGATTCTACCTGAGTGACTCGAATAAACAATAAAACAATGGAAAAGCTCGTGAAGGGCTCCTCATTCGAAGAGTTGAGGAACGGTGCATCGCTCAGGGTTCAAGGTTCAGGGTCCAAGGTATAAGGTTTAACTAAATTTTTCCTGCATTCTTCCGGCTTCGATTTGTAACATTGGTCAATTTACTTGATTGCTGAATTTCTATTAATATATACAGCAGATAAACAGCAGATACAAAGTGAGAAGGCAGGTGCTACGTCGCGTCGGGACGGACCAAATATTATTATTTTAACTCTTAACGGTCGGAATCCGATTTTTTTTTTTAAAAAAATTATGTATTTAAAAATAACATAATAAATGGGCATTTCTCCAGTAAGTGGACTGTGAAATTATGTACATCCAGCTATTCCTCATCATTTACAAATCTGATTGTTACGTCAAAAATTTTGAAATCGATGCAGCTCGAATACAAAATGGTGTATTAAAATGGAAGAAGATTTTTGCCTATACATATGCGTATAGGGCTCGCGAAGCGCTCCTGAGGGCGCGAGGCGCCCTCCGGGGGGTTGGGCCGCGTAGCGGTCAGGGGGCAGGGCCCCCTAGTATATGTATAAGCCTTATGATGAGCCGTATTTGGAGAGTCAGGGGTATTTCAAAATAGTCATGGCCACCATCACAGGATACCTTATTGAATTCAGTTCACATAAGCCTACTCTCGATTTTAAGAGTCTGGAGCCACGTCCTCAATGTATGCAGCCGAGTTTTTAAACCAAAGCGAACTATAGGAAAAGTTCGGTTGCACGAACCGAGCGAACGGTTTCATGATCTGAATATTTGGGCCTACATAAAACACTGTACATACATAGCCATGACCACACTCTTTTAAGCGCTCAGCCGATAGGCGGCGCTTTTTGATTTCGATTTGCCACTAGAGCTCTAGTATAGTAGGGCGCTCAAGCGATCAAATGGCGCACCAACTCATCGATGCACGAAACGCCATTTTTACTTTTTTTTTTTTTTTGATTACCTCATTATGCCTCTGTGAATACGATTAAATGCAAATTAGCGTAAGAAATAAATAACAGTCCTAAAACTCTCTTTGCTATGCGGTTTATAGTTATCCTATAATTACTTCTGAAAGTTCAAGATTCGCGTTCTGTTTTCCGAAAACTTTTCCACCGGTGATAACCTTATTCGGAGACCTTAGTAGAATTCGCCTACATCTAGGTTATGTGTCTTTGACCTAGGTACTGGAGAGTATTGCCATCCTTTTGCCCTTCTCTGATTGGTTCATGAGTTTTGGCGTTTTTGGCCCTCTTCTGGCTTGATAAGTTGATCAATGTTCATTTTCTGTAGGTACATAGCCGCGATTTAGATTCAGATGACACTACTCTCCCGTATTTGCTTCTCGCGTCTCGCTTACTCCTTTGTGTTTTCATATTTCGTCCATCTCCCTCCATCCATAATTAATTCCATAATCCATCCGCCTCGTTTAAGATTATGTTGTGAAATTTAAGATTGTGAAATTGTCTGAAATTTGAAGCATAATATTTTGGAATTATTCAACGTATGTCGTGTCTTGTCTTCAGACTCGTTCTGCCCACCTCGTGAAGTTTGTGAAAGTTTCTGAAGTTTAATGCTGTGAAATTATTTGACCAATTATCATGCTACCTCAGAGACTGTTTTAGTGTTTTTGGGTTAATTAAAGTATGTCAGGTAGGAGATCTGCCATTTGCGATACATGCAAAATGCTTCATTATACTAGTGTACCACAGTTGTTCTCAAGCACCAATCACAACACGGTTTGCATTTTTATGCTGAATAGCATAGATAAACGACTGGAGCATTTTGCGCAGCTCAAGCGCAGGGATTTGTACCTTCGTAATTGTCACCACCTCATCGCTGCAAATTATGAAAAGGACCGCTCGAGTGTATCCTTGATCATAGAATATCTGTTATTCTCAAAGCGATGTCGTCATCACATCCCTGTCAGTTCACAACTTCTAATTATTGAGTTTAACTAGGTGTCAAAAAATCTGAGATATCTGAAGTAGCAGAAAATTGTGTACTTTCAAAGTCTAAGATTTTTTGCGGCACTGACAGTTTCATAAATCTTCCTTATAACACTCTACTCTGAAACCGCTACATTCTACCTCTCACATTGCTCCATAACAAAGGTATGTGTTAGCCTCTTATTTGTACTAAAAATTCTAGGTTTCATGACTCATTTACTCATTCACTCTCTGGTGAATTTGGTTCCGTCAGATTCATTGCAAGACACCTTATGTGTTATCTCCGCAGACCTAACACAGACATTTGAACGCTCAATGAGAGCAAAATTTCAACTGGCCTGTTGTCTACTTTTCAGTAAAGAGGGTAAATAACCTTCCTTTTGGACTCGCTTTGAGACGATAAAACAAGGTTTCTCCATTACTTACCGTAAGACGATAATAAGTGTTCCACCAGACTATGTAGGAGATGAGGTTGAAAGTTATATCACCTCCATGTGTGAGGAAGTTTTCTTACCTACAACCTGATTTTATGACTTACAATAACAAAAGATACTGCTTTCGCCTGGCATTTTTTCATGCGTCACATCGTCTAATAAACGGGGACCTACATTTGATTCCATGAATAGGTAAAATGGCTCAGAGAGAATTTCGTCGAATGATCACTACGGCCATCTCTCATCCAGTTGGAGAACTTTTACTTACCCTTGATTAAAAAATTCATGAACCATAGAGTTTTTGGAAATTGAGTACACAATATTATTGTGAAAGATTTTTGAGGTTGAGTCTTTGTTTACATTCTCAAAGTATCAAAAGTTCTACAGTTTCATCGTGTTTCCTCCTAACTTTATCAGCTTATGAGCAATGGCTCCTAATTTACTCAACTCCTCAGCAGGCCAAAACTCTATACCTCTACAGATACATATGAGAATCATGCGTTTCAACGAAACCTACGAGTCCTCTTATCATCACTCAGGAACCACCGATCTTTTCTGCAGGTGTCATGGACCATTCATGACAAATACTGTTGCAACCACCCTTATCCTAGGTACATATCTATGCATAGTAATTCTAGCGATCAGCTCCATACTCACAATGTAATTTCTGTAAAATACAGTTGGACGGTGGAATTACCAGACCCCGTATCTCGGTTTGCGACGTTGTAGACTTCCTTTCATACTTTCTTCTTTACACGGAAAACCAACCAACATCAATTTATAAAAACTTCTGCAATTTTTCTTCTCTGTGCAAAGAAAACTCTGTGAAAACCAAGGAGGAAAAATGATTTGTTCTCCGTCAAAAGAATAAAATGGGAGCGGAGATTTTTAAGCACCGCAAACGAGATACATGGTCTGCTAGTTTCACTGTTGACTTGTTACGATATACCTATACCTACAATATCCCTATAGATTACATTGAAGATATTACTGTCCCTGTAACAGTGACTGATTCGAATGTTATCACAGTATAGAGGGTTTCAGATAATTGGGCCAGCATGGTTTATTAATTACACAGAACGTAAGTTACCTTTATAAATTAAGGCGTAGAGGCAACTTCTGCCTTTGGTTGGCCAGAAATTTCTGTAAACGCATTTAAATTCCTGAAATTTATGAGAAATTCCGAATCTACTAAATGAAAGCAAGGATTTCAGGAGAACATGATTAACAATTTGCTGTCAGAAGGAAAACTGCGGAAGGAAAGTGGGAAAGATTTTTCACTAAGGCTCAACATAATATGAGGAGGAAAAAATGAATGTAATTTCCGTTTACCCTGGTTATAATTCTGGTATAGCAAGAATTCTCTTTCTCTATTTACGCAATTACGTATTAGATTATTGTATTGTATGAAATCCTGTTATCACGAAGACAGAGTATCATAGAGCATAAACAATAAACATAGGAAAGGTTGTGTCTGATCATGAGTCATTAGAAGGTTTTAGCGTAGTGTGCTGCAACCTAGCGGACACATGGTGCCTTCGATTCGCGAAAAGTTACCTTCAGTACTCACAATCAGTTGCAGTTGATCGATTTCGTTTATTGTCTCATCATTTACCTATTAATATTTATATTTCGTTCATTTATTTACCTATAATATTTTTTACGTGTCCAATTGGGGCATCATTAAAACAATTAATTTGGCCTCGCTAAGTGATACGTTCATCTTTGATACATTTTCT